CTTTAAGTAACCAAAATATTTTTAGCTTGTTTATGACACCTTAAAATTCAATAAAACATTCAATGTTGTTTTATATTGCAAGACATAACCTTCTGCACGAGCCCAACAAGTTATGTGCACATTCTAAACAAACTAGATTAGACATTCAACAGAAGAAATTGGGCGTTTCTGCATGTCAGGCAAAGAATATATCAACAAACTACATAGGTTCAACTTCATTAAACAAACAGACATGAAAGAATATCACTCTTAATAATATAATATTTACCTCTGAAATAACTCTGATTTGCGTAGAGTGATTTACGTTTAAATAGATGTCATACCTTTTATCAAATGAATGCGCAAACTTTCCTGGCGTGTTTTCAAACCTCCATTTTCCCGGCGGTTTGAAGTCTCACGTCATCTCGTGATATCGCAAGTCAGCCTTAAATTCACGTGACCAGTCTCACTTCCAACATTCTGTCATGATTGAGTGTTGCAATACAAGAAAAAATCTTCATAATGAATCAATAAAAACAAAAATACGTTCGAGAATTAAATAACTTAAGTCCACATTTGGCTAAATTGTTTTTTCTCTTACTGGATCAAATAAATGACGCTTAAGTAAGAAATACAAATAGAATAGAAAAATAATCGATTTATTCCCAGTTTTGAATTCTAATTGTTAAATTGTTTAACATTTCAGATATTTAAAAGAATATATTATCGAAGGAAATAGATTGAATGGAACAATGAATGCACAGATAAAATATACAAATGAATAGATAGTAACCATAATAACCGGAGAGGAAATGTTAGATTTGACTGTTAAAAAGCCTTATGGCTTTTTCTTGGGCAAAAATAGGTCCTGAATCTTTCAGTACAGCAATGCAGTGAGACAAGGCCCTCACTGCTGTGGAAGGGATGTTTACTTTTATCAAATTCAGTATATAAAATCCTCTTTATCCACTGCTCCATCAGAGGCCTTAGAGGGTAATGCACTCTGCACTACAGAACTGACCTTTGAACTAGTTCTACTCCATGCAAATCACGGATATTTAATTTATTATTTATCTTGGAAAATGTATTTAGTTCAAATTATACATTGTACTCTTGTAAATTAAAGAACTGTTACATTTTCCTCCTTTAAACATACTTAACATTGAATTATTATCAGCCGTGTTTGCACTATCAAAGTAGCATCCATAGTGATCTATGTGATGACCTCATCATGGGTACACAATTGTTTCAACTGGCCTGTGTTTACTAAGTATATAATTCAGTTGCTATAGAAACTGTTCTTTAAATAACTGTAACCATGGCAACATTTTTTTTCTCCAAGAGTGGAGAAAACAGGAGTGAAGGATGCTGCCTACTTTTTTCCAAACCAGTCATGTTAACTTGTACCTCATGATAAAGATAAACAAGAGAGTTATTTGACTGAATTTATTTAACCAGCAGTCCCTTTTTAACCAAATGTATCTTTTTAACTCTCAAGTGTGGGAATTTTAAAAAATCAATTTCTCCTTCTCATTGTAGGACAGTTGGAAAACTGTATAAACTGCCAGAGTAGATAACTAAAGAGAGATCCAGATCTAAATGACTTTTGTTCCTTTTATTTGTTTTTTATTTCTAACCACTGAGATACAAAAAAAGTCTCCTTATCCACTCGTCAAACCATTGTGTATCTGGAAGCTTCCTTTCACAGGGCACCTTTTTAACCATCCGTGACCAGGCTTTCAATGAGGGCAGTCTGCACTTCAGATCATAAGTCTTTCATCTTTGCAGGGAACGATCCTTTATGACTGTTGGTTATTTCACACGCAAATATGTCTGATAGTGGAGACAGGCCAACAGACAGTTTGCCATTTCTTTCAAGATGATATGCTCTGTTTGCTCTGACTGAAGCAATTTTTGTGGGGTTTATTTGTTGTTTTTATACTGAACTGGGAGGTTCAAGGCAGGAACAACAAGTTTATAATGTTTACAAAACATGACTATAATGTTTATAGTCTTTCTACCCATGGAAATAACTCTGCCCAGGCTTTTGAAAAGTTAATATTTCATATTCATGCAGAAAATATATTTCCCCTTTAAAGTTTGAGTTAGCTCAAATTCAAAACTGGTTTTCCTCAAAATGGCATACAGAAAGAGTTCAAAACTAACACAGTCAAACTCATAAAGAGCTGCCAAAGACAAAAATCCATACACATTTTTAAGAAAGAAAACTTTATTTGTAATTTAAAAACCAAACACATTACCACTGTAACCATGTAGGTCAAATAAAAAGTCTGAATATAAATGAAAGAAATTAAATTCACTACTCCACTATCACAGTTGATGAGAGGGTGCACATATAAAGGTTTTACAACAGATCTCTGCTGATCCAGTTAGGATAGCACATAGCCACCATATTTCACCACCATACATTGGGAAAGAATGACAGCATGAACGCTCACTAAACACAAGCATACACTAACATATACATTTTTTTTCTTTTTTTTAATTTGTTTTTACAGATTTTTTTATTTATTTTTGCAAGAGTTTAATTGAAGTGTTAGCTTTTCTTAGGATCATACATAATTCAGTTACAATAATACAGTGTTAGATCGTCATGTGAAAGCCAGACACAGAGAGTGACTCTTTTTAAAACTTTTTTTTTGTTTTTCTTGATTTGCTTGTTCTGAAAAGCAAATTCATTGCTGGTAAAATAAAATTAAGAAACTTGCGTTGAAAGATATCACACTATAGCATTTACAAATATCTAAAGAGGTTCAGTGGATGCCATAGAACATCTGTGGAACGTGAAGATTGAAGTACATAGATGTTTGGCAGAGACAGCAGTACATACAAATATCTCCTGTGTGAGTAATGAAGAAAACTGATAATACAAAATAATAAAATCATAGCCATCTATCTCTATATATATTTCTCTATATAGTATGTGTTTCCTTAGAGCAGTACATGCAGCAGCCACTTAATGGAGTGACGTCATACTGAGCCGCAAAACTCTGGGGACGTGGCAACAAGTTACAGGCAAGAGGAGGGGAACCCACAGAAGCAGATCTTGGGGCAAATTCTTTTCCAAAACCTCCTGAGAGAGGGTTGGTGGGATACAGTTCTGGGATGGAATCCCTAGATGCCCATATTTTCTCAAGTTTCAGTTAGTATTGTAAAGACAATCTATGATACAACTACGCTACATTTACAGCGTACATAGAAGCTAATATGTGACTCGATGTTCCTCAACAATCAAGTTGGAAAACCTTTCATCCCCTGTACATGGAGTCAATAGGGCCAGCCCATGGCACCTTTATCCCAGTTCCCTATAATCCCTGTAATCTGCCTTATCCCACCTTGTTCCCCCTCATCAGTGGCTACTAACGGGAAATAAACCACATACTGTAGTATTCACAGGTTAAAAGCACTGAACCATTTTACAATTGGAAAACATCTGACAAAAGTTCAGACCACAGGCCACCAACTGGGCCTCTTCAGGCCTTATCCACATTACTCCATGCTGTTCTCAGCACACCACAATGTTCAGAGCAGGCCATTCCCAGAACTGATCCTGAGCAGTGGTCAGAGCGGGCATTAGGGTCACTGTCTGAGGGCAAATGAAGCTGGGTACATAGAGGATGAAGCAGTTAAAGCTTTGGAGAAAAATAAAATGAAAAAGCTAGAATGTGTAATAATGAATCTCTTTAAAGAAAGTTTTTAAAAGAACAGTTTCCAAAACTCCATTGTTATTTGAAGAGGCAATATGTGGGATGGGTAAAAAGTGGGAGAAAGGTGTTATGAAAAGAAGACTGCATGTGACAGCTTGGGGACAGTTCAAGTGGGTGAGCATATGTAAACTCAAGGTACAAGGTAAGGACTGGTTGCTACCAAACATTCAGAAAGCATCAGGCTTTTGCTGCAGCAAAGGGAGGAGATATGATATCAAAATCTCTCCTAATATTCGGTTAGGTTTCATCAGAGTCCACTGTCTTAATGCTGAGTCTCCTGTCAGCTCAGCTGCACTCTCGCTTGGTGATCCTCAGAAGAATGTGAGGTATCATCTTGTCTTTTCTCCTTCTCTTCAGGGGTTTCTGCATTCCACATATGGGGTTCAGGCAGCAGATGAAGCTCCTTGTGTCCTTTCAATGCAGTAAGCATAAACAGAGTGATGGCAAAGGATACTGCTTCCATCTTAAAAGAGTTGATATAATATACACCTCAGAGGTGGCTATGTAGGCCAAAGAGCAAATTTCTTTTCACCAGTTGATTCTTTCCCCTATTTTGTATCTATTTCTTTCTTTATAGGCATCAAGTGCTCTCAGTGTCCACTTTGTCATGGCTAAGAAGTTCGTGTTTGTATGTTTGAATGTGTAAGCATGCATGTGTGCATGTGGTTTCATTGACATTTCAGGAAACACTGTTTGTAATTACCAGTGGAATTTGCAGCAGTGCCATTTTAGCCTTACTTTAGTGACTCTTGCCTGTGCTATTTACAAGTAGAGTGTCCAGCTTTATAGACTGCACACTCAAATGTCAGTCCGCATCATTTTACTTCTTTTCCTTGGCTGGCACAGCTTTTTGTTTTTCTCGTACAAAGTATTGGTCTCCTTGGTGAGACAATGGTTATACATTGCATTTGGGGAAGGGATAAGACAGAGGTGCCAACATGTCCAGTGGGTGAATGGAGAAAAATTAAACGACAAAGCAAAGACTGGCTATTCTTCTCATTAAGCAATGGCATGAGTTGACTTATAGGTTATCTGCAGATTGGGGTTTTGACAAAATTCAATACTTTTAATGGATACATATAATTTATCACATAAATGCTAGATCAATTTTTCCTTAGAAACCAACTGAAGGTAAAAGATTTATTGGTAGGACCAGAATCCAGAAAAGAGAGCTTTAAAATGTAATCTTTGATAATAAGTAATAAAAATGAACTCTTTGCCAAGTGAACTTTGGTTGGTACCTCTGTTTTAGCAACACCCCTGTCTTTTTTCCTCTTTTCACTTTCGGCTTGTCTACTCATCATCATCCTTTCCCTTATCCTTCTTGTCTTTCTTCTCCTTCTTCTTCTTCTTTTTCTTCTTGGCCTCTTCCTTCTTTCCAAAAGTGATAAAATCACTCTTGTCATCCTCTCCTCCTTGGTTCTGTCTGATGGATATTATTGCGGGCGAGCCAGGAATGATGAATGCTTCTGGGGGAACTTCACCAGGCTTCAAATGCTGTGGGGGTGCACCAGGACCACCTGGGCCGTAGCGAAAGTGCCAGCTGTTGCTGTCTACGCCGGCACCCATGGGCGGTGAAACCTCTCCTCCTTCACCATCTGAAAGAAACGTAAAAAAGGATGATTAATTATAATTTCCATTTATTTTGTTCAAACAAGTGAAATAGTACATTTAAATAGCAATAGAATCCCTGCCTTATTGTGTTGAAATGCATTCATATTCCAAGACTATAAACTGAAACATAGTCTCTTTGGTTTCCTCATAGCTATGACCTACTTGCTACACGTGCCGCATATCTTTCTCTTATTCAACTCCATTTGTAAGCCTTTACGAAAGGGGAAATTAACTAACCAACAGACCAGAAGAAGCAAAGACCTGAGAAGAAGCCAGACCTGATGCAGTACTGACTGGATAGGTTGCAAATGCATAACAGCTCCAAGACAGAGGCAAATCAGACAAACTATCATGTGTGTCCACACTACTGTCAAGTTAGAATCACAAATTAACAGATAAAATCTGTTGTAAATTCATTAACTGTGCCAACAAAACCAAAGCTGTGAAATTTAAGACAGAGCAAATATTTTGTGACAGAGGATGAGAAGATAAGGAAAGGACGGGCTAAATCCAACCAGCACTTTCACAATATGAACACACTGACAAAGTAAATTTCACATTCATATACAGAGTCCTTGGCTGACTCCTTTATCATGGAAGGGATTAAATGATTACAAGAATAAAGCAGATATGTCAGGAAAGTAGGACAGAACAGTGATGTAGTCTTTACAATCACCTGTCATGCCCTTGTGATATTACACATCTAAATTCATTTGAGACAATGGTACCAGTTTGCAAGCTTGCACTGAAAACAAAACAACACGCTGGGGAGTAATCAGTCATCATGAATGCAGACAACCCAAAACATTAAAACAGGGAATAAAACCTATGGAAACTGATAAAAAAAATGCATCCTGGCTTTAAGCATGAAAGTGGGATTGTTGGCAAAACCATACATTAAAAGTATTCAGCTGTGGTATAGCTCAAAATTAACTTTTTAGAATAGTTTTTTTGTTATTAACCTGTATATTTACTGACTACTGCTTGGATAAACTCCTTTTTTCTCCCTCTCCACCTTACTACTTTATTTCCTCCACACATTTTCTCTGACCTTTCCTCTAATTTAGTGTTAAAATGCATTCGACCAACACCCATTCATCCTAGTTATTGGGGCGAATCTTAATCATGCCTATTAAAGTTTATGGTAACACTAATGTGACTGAGTATAAAACAGCTTGCCCATCAACTATCAGGCACATTAGAAAAGCCTGAAAATTATCATTATCATCAGATTATCATGTCATAGTCATGATTGTTGCCTCTACCAATATACGTGCAACCTGCATTGTTTTAAACATACGGTCTTAGTTTTGTGATACTACAGATATTAAACCACTGTTATTACTAAAATTGCATTAAAGGAATTGATATTTTCTGTTTGCTCTCCATTAGTTTGATTTCTAGAGTCGTCTGTCCTGCATCGGTGTATGAAAGTTCCTTTACTCCCCTTGTGCCTCCAGAGGTTTTCACAGTCACTTAAATCACCCAAGCTCCATTTTGCTATGTCTGCTTTATTCATCCACTTGTCTTGTCCTATCATCAGCCAGTTGGGCAGAAGCACAGAGGAGTGCAGGGAGTGCAGTGCAGAGTTACATAACGACTTGAAGAGGAGGAGGAAGAGGAGGAGGAAGAGGTGTCCGGGAAAGCAAGGACAAAGATATAAAACACGACGCTCACCTCAAGAACAGTGTATAGGAAAAAAAGATTAAAATATCAGCTAATTATGATTCATTCCCCTTTCCACAACCCTGTGATTTGACCACACCCTTCCAAGATGGCACCTGCGTCTGTTGTGTTGCTGTTGTGCAGTGTGTGTGCATGTGAATAATTTGATGAAAACAAAACATGATGCTGCTGTCTACTCAGGAATCTAATTCTTATTCATGCACCCATGTTTTCACTGCAGTGCTTATGAGGTGATAGAAGAAAACAATCCAGGGCCTGCATAAATTACCATATATTCCTGAATCTGCTGGAACCTTCCAACAGTAATAAAATAAGAACAGGGGTGGGAAAAAAATTCTGATGGCTGGTATCAGGCCTTCAGAAATGCGTGTGTTCCTATTTAGGTTTCATGCCAGATTGAATTACTTGCTCTGTGCTCTCAACCAGATTATGTGACAGACTAAACAAATGCCCAACAATCAGGTGATGGTCTCACATGTAATCTCACAGTTCATTTGATTTTGTTTTGAGTTAACACAAGTTGAAAATGCAACCTAATCCTGAGCAAAGATCTCAGTTGGTTACTTGCAGTTAACTGCCTAATAAAAAAAATCCTTAATCTGTGACTCTCTGTATGCTGGATGTTGTGTGTAATGTGTGTGCAGAGGCTGCAGGATGATAATGTAAAAGTGTAAACTTACTTCCATCTCTGCAGTAAACCACCGCCCTAGTAAATGTAGGTCACTATCCTTCCGTTATTCACTCTTCTCTTCTTCCTATGGCAACTCGCACCACTAACACTCACTTCCAGTCAAGTCTCCAGCTTTAAATTTTGCTTTATCTTTTGCACTTGAACATGCATTTCAGATACTTTAATGTTGTATTACATCAAATACAATAGTTTTTATTTTTCATTTCCCCATTTAAGTACATTTCTCCCATGCCATATGTTTGCACCCCTTATTTATAACACAACACCCCCTCCCCCAAGTCTTCCATACCCTGCCAATATCAGGGACCATGAATGGTTGCCATGGAAACAACATCCTCCTGTGAAGCAGTAGGACATTGGTAGGAGTCATGGTGACAGTGCTTATGCTGATGGAGAATAATGCTGGAAGCTTTTTCTCCCCTCCACTCACACTGTCTAGTCTAAGCACTCTCCCCTAGCAACAGCAACCTCATACAACCTCCCCTGTTTCCTCTGCATCCTTTTCAGTTGAGCACTCTTATTGTAACTTCCCTCAAAACACTCCCTTGGAAATTCAGTTTTGCTTTTTGTATTGCTAATTTGAAACCTTTTCCCAGGAAAGCTATCATTCCCCCTCACTCCTCGTCTGTAAATACTGTAGTGTTTCAAATCAATGCAATTCTTGATTAATTCGTATGAATACTTCCTTCAGCAATTTACCTCAGAGGGACATGGACAGAAAAGAGAAGGATATAGGGAGTGAGGAACAAATTATAAGAGTGAGTTAAGCACCAAGCGGAACCCTGTTTTCACTAATGTGGGTCTGTTAATCTGGGCGTAGGCTGTGCACCATCTGTCACCGCAGGAGGAACACACAAAGCAGATAGAGCAAACACACACAAGGCATATACACATAAAGCACTGGACAACAACGCAGGCACACAAACTAAAACCAGCACACAAGTGTGCCGAAATCAGAGAAGAAGAAACAGGGGCGTTGTCAGCTGTCTGTGCCTCACAGAGAAGAGACAGCACCCTGTAGCTGCTGCAACCAGGCTGAAATGATTCTTTAAATGAAACCAACCTAAAGACTAGAGCTTGCTTGACAAATAAGAAGATCCCTGTAATGCACAATAATCTGGCAGGTGACCTTGTATTAATAGTTTATTTTATCTAATTTCTAAGACATGCTCAACAGAATCAACTTTGACATCAAAACATAAAATAGTCTCTAATCATTCTGTAAACCAGCCTTTGGAGGAAGATGTTTTCATTCTATCTGATGATCTTGAACAAATATTGGGATTGTACAACCCTTAAATTCAAAATGTTGTTAATGTAACCATCGGCTGATCACTCTATTTATACCTAGGTAGAGGAAGATAAAGATGGAATAGTCAACTCTTGGGCAAATCAAGGTAAGTGTGCAAACAGTGTGCTCTTTCTTCAGGCCACAGCTAAAGGAGAAGCTGAAATACCCACAAACCTATCTTTTTTGCCACCAACCCACCCTAAGGACATAACTACTGTCTATTCTGATGTATTCTTCTGTCTTTCTGCGCATATATCTTTCTCTCCAATTCCTCATGTTTTGAAGTGCCTGCAGGCTCCAATCCTCAGCCGAGGCAAGAAATCGATGGTAGAGTGCAGGTGTGTGCGTGTGTGTGAACAGGAAGAGACAGTAGTTACTGTGTGGGTAGTTTGTCTGCATGCCAAGCCCACTGCTTTGTGTCTAAAAAGGACACCAGGCGCGGAACGCTCAATGTTCTAATACATATTATATCAACTCTATATCTCAACAGACCGGCACATACTCCTTTGCTCCACTCTTATTATATATTTACCAGTGCCATTTTAATGTCTGTTGTATGTCTGGTTTCTTTATTTTAATATTGTCCTCTTTAATCCTTGGAGCCCCCATGTTCATATAAGTAAGAGTAAAAATGACAGCCTCCAGAACAGGGGTTTGACACCATTGTTTTATTTGGCCTTTTGACTTTGGTTGAGAGCTCTTGAGATGGAGGCATTGAAGAAATTTAAATGTCTAATTTCCCATCAACAAAACCCAAGGCAGATATGCTTTATCCAAATACATATTCATTTACAATGGTGCTTCCCTCTTGGCAGACAATTAAACCCAAACCAAAATGCCACCTACTACCACTGAAATACAGGATATCTTTTCCAGAGGGGATATGGGTTCAGTAATCTCCTACTTAAATTTGACAGTGTTAAAAGTCAGTCATTTAAGGCATTTGTTGAAGTTCCAACATTCCTTTTTCCACAGTTATTCATGTGCACTTTTCCTATAAACTCCCTTGCAGATCTCCAGTTATCAGTTTGTGAGGCTGTTTCTACCCTGATGACGACTGAATTGAGAAGACACTATTTTTTGTCCTGCGATTCAACCTTTGTGACTGTATCCTTACAAGGTCTTCCTATTTTTTCATCAAAATATCTATGTCTCTATTTACGGTTTTGTGTATATCCTTTGAAGATCTGTTCTTTATACCTCCATGACTGTTTTGTTAAATATCCAAGTAAGAAGAGTCTCTGTTCCCCCTTTCTCTTTCTCTGTATTGTCTGTCTTACTGCCACAGAAAGCAGAGATATCCATCTCCACCTACGTAGCACATGTTATTTTCTATCCCCACTGCAGTGAAAAGTGTTAAAAATGGGTCAATGCAATCTTTTAGTTCATATCTCTTGTTTCTCTTTTATGGTTTGATTAGCTCTTCAGGAATAGAAGCATAATGTAGCGCCAGCTTTTCCGGTCTGAAACTGTGCCATGGTATGTGTTGGATGCAGTGTCATTCAATACGATTATATCTGTAATCACAGTTTTAGGCATTTGAGACAAGAGTAGACATGTGTGCCAGGTTTTCTCTGCCAGAACCAGTGCTTAAAATGTTTCCAGCTCAGATTATATTAGAGAAACATGACCGATTCTTACCAGCAGCACTGGATGCAGTTGGCCAGTTTTGAACCAGGACGCCCTGGGCTCCTTGCATGACTGAGGACTCTTCCATGTGCACTGAACTGAAACACAAAAGACCAAAATCAACATGATAAATGCAAAATTTTGTTTCTTAACATGCAGTGAATACAGATTTAAGATGTCTTGAATTGCACTGCATTACAGGTGGCATCCATAAATATGACTTTCTGAGTTACTATCATTATGACTGATCCAAGTGACTTAAATTGACAATGTATTCAACAATTTAGTATACATGTTTTCACATAAAACCTCTTTTTATTTATTCAATCTGACAAATCTGTTTCAACCTTGAGTTTTTGTAAAAGCATCACTAACATTTAAAGATTGCATATCCTGACTATGAGGGTCAGTTTAACATAAATGTGCAGTTATCAGAACCCAATGTGCTAACACTATTTAATGTTCTCTTTCAAACTGCATGGATTTACAAGTTGAATAGAATTAAGTTATCTGTATTTGACACAAAAGTACATAACCCTGTGCAAATTATTGTACAAATATGTGTCTAAATTGTTTATTTCGTCAGTGCAAATGTAACCTGTACTATCTGCTGATCATTTGGATACCAAGCACTTAAAACCAAATCAATGAGGTCTACATCAATCATGTGAGGAACTGATCATTGTTTTATACCTATAAGACTTAAAAAAGTATTAACTGTATCATAAGTATAAAGAGAATTTGTGAGAAAGCAAAGATTCAACAGTTAGTTAAGATTGTAAAAAGGGCATGAATCTCTATACTCAAACAATTGTTAGGTGCAGAGACAGGGTTTGGTTGTGGAGGCCATTTTAAGTCCTACTAAGCACCAGCATAATCAGGGCACAGTAATTAAATATTAATTGCAAATACTTGTGATTATTCTATTTTCAGTTAATGACAGTCTTCCTGTCTCATTTCTCATGTTGTCCTCTCCTGTAACCCTGTGGTTTCTGATCAGAATATGGCACAATTTTTTTTTAATCAGAAAGCAAAATAGAAGTAAAATTAGAAAAACTTGAGTTCAATACATTTTAGCCTTTTCATGTATAATCACACGTGTCATCAATCAGCAATCTCCATGTTTTGGGAGGTCACAATTCCATGTGAGGACCCATCTTTCATACACCACTGATGACCTCTTTGCTAACTCTTACCCCCCTACCGTATATCTTAGTTACATTGATAGGCCCATATTCAAAGAAATATTCAACATTTTTCTAAATAACCACAATTGGGCCATCCATGCTATTTTTTTAAATCCTGTTCATTCAAATAAATTTAAATACATTCAATCTTGTTATAATGTCAATAGTGAAATATGCAGGTACATTTAGCTAATTACTCACTACCAAAGGCAAAATATTCTAAACAAAATATCAACACAAACACCTTTATCAGGGAAAGGGTCAATGGATGTCATATGAAAGCAGAGACTGCTAATTGCATAGATGCGTCTGTGTGAAAATGTTCCTAAATCTTACGTTTGGGGGTCCCGCTGAACACACTTACATTAAAAACATTCGTAAAAATGTTCGGTTCACTGTTTTTGCTTTGAATCTTGTTGCAGTTGTTACAGTTACTCATCAAATATCACTTTAGTTATTTCAAGATTAGGTGGATGACTATCCAACGATTCAAAGCTTGTTTTCGCACTAAATAATGTGGTTTATTGTAAATGGTAAAATATAAGTCACTTACTACTGGGTTCCCGGTTAATTAATTCTACAACTGCAGTACATATCCTGGCTGTCACATGTCTCACGTGATACCACGATTATGCATCCATGCTTAGTAGTTAAGAAGATATACTCCATTTATTTTCAGTATGTTGTCTTGCAATGCAGACAGAAAACACAGGCCTCATCAGAATCTATATACATAATGTGTTCAGCTCCAACAATGTTTTTGGCTACTTTTACAGAAAATCAGAACTTATCATTGCACAAACTGTGCATTATCATATGTGTCCATGCTATTCTTTGTTTGTCAGATTTCCACCATTTAGCTTAATGATATGCTGAAGTTATTTATGTAGGTTAATTAATAGAATGGTAATGGAAAAAAGGCAATGCTCACCTTTGCATTACACCTCCTGCTCTCAGAGAGGCTGAGTATCTCCAGTCCGAACCTGGTGCCTTGGGCTGCAAGAGAGAATGACAGGAATTGAGTCTAAAGTAAGAGAAAAAGCCAATACCCTGTAATTAAGAAGTCATCATGAGAATTCCTTCTGCACATACATGAAATAAAACACAAACTCAGACATATATATAATCGCAACAGTGTACAGTTTCAGCCGTCTTTAAAAAAATGATGAGGTGAAGCTCATCAGTGCACACATCTGCTCCCATCATCAAACCCTCTCCCCTTCCTCCCTTCCTCAGTCTCTGACCTTGACTGAAATTTTAGCATGATGTCAACACTCTCTAAACCTTTAAAGAAGTGTCTATTATGACAGAACAATGAATAAAGATAATGATATATCAAATTCATTATATCTGAACACTGCATCTGCTATATTTTCCAAATCAACGCTTTCTTCTTTTCTTTTTTCGGTTTATTCAAGACCCCGTTCCCTGTATTGTTCATTTTCGTGTTATACCATCTTCATGCTAATCAAAACCATGGGTTTCACAGGCACATAGTCCCCTAAAATCAGTGTGACACATCTCACCATGGTAACAGTGAAGAGGGCAGACTATGTTTTTCTCTCCACCCACCACCCTCTGTCATATCTATTCTGTGAAGGTCACAGGTGGAAGAAAGATGGGGGAGGGGATGACAGGGATCGGATTAACTCACTCAGTGTCAAGACTCAAACAGCTATATGTCTGAAGGACATGAAGAGAGATACAACCAAAATCTTTGCCTGTATGACGGGATATATTTTTGTTACTGCCATACTAGAAAGAGTTTAAAGCTTATTTGTTCTAAAAGGTTCGGTTACGAACAATACACGAATAGATATTAAATGAATGGTGATTAGTGGTTGAGAGGATCCGCTCACATACTTTACAGTCTACTGTCAAGCAAGGGAGACTGTAAACCTTCCCACACAACCAAGTTGAAATGTTGTCCTGTTTCAACCTTTACAGAGCTAAACTAACAAGACAAGGGACCCTTTATTTTCCACGCTTGACCATTCCATTCATAAAAGACCCATTTGCCGTTTTAGTTCTTTTCAAATTTGACAGATGTTCACTGGTTTCTGAAGCTGCATTGACCTCCATGAGTGTGCAGAGGACATTTATCAGGCTTGAAATCCAATATTTTGTCTAAATGAGAGAAGCCTGGTATTCCTCCTGGAGTCATCCAAGTAGAGCAGAATGTCGACAGAGAAACAGATCACTGCAGCATTGAGTGAATCTTGATTAAATGAAGACAATCACTCATCCAAATGCAATCAGCGTGTAGCTTAACAGTTTAAAGAAAGGAGAGACATGTTTGTGAGGTATGAAACTAAATTCTGAACAAAAGCTCCTGTACATAATATTTTTTGCAAAAGACACAGAAATAAACAACCCATTCAAGATGCTACCAGCTTGTTCACAAATGGGGCAAAATAGCTTTGTTTACTCTGTTGCTATAGAGCACTGGCCAAAGGGAGACTTGTCTGCTTGGCTGTATAGTTTTTATGAGGGTGAATTAAATCACACCCATGAGACCATACACATACTGAATAAAAGCATCTGGAAATCAAACATGTCCACAATTTAGGATTTACCCAACGGCAGAAAGAAATGCAAAACTGGTATCTTTTAATATGAATGATTATGACTCATTATTCAATTAATATGCTGCTTCCCACAAATAATGTACACAAAAACAAAAACAAAAAAGATCCAGGAGGAATAAATCAGTTGAAGAGGAGATAAAATATATGTAGATGACAACTATGGGTTTTTAGTGTATTAATGTTTTAGCTTGCAGTACAAATTAAGGAATTTAAAAAGAAAGCTTTAGGTTTAGCTTGCCCTTTTCTTTTTTGCGTCTCTCTGAGTGAACACTCCTTGCATGGATACTGAGCTCACACCTCCGCCATCACCAGTGTGTCCAATCACCTTTTATCCCCCGCCTCATCTGCTTTTTGGCATCCAATCCACGCACAGTGCTGAGAACCACACTGCTGCCATTTAATTACATTGCAAGCACAAACATGACTGGCATCTAATGAGGAACAGAATAAGTAATAGCAGTAAGAGAGCCCTTGATCTGCTTCGAATTCTTTTTGTTGTCTTTTTTTTCTTTCTTGAGTCTTTTCGTCACTGCACTGGCAAACCTACAAAAGCTGCTGGCCAAATACAATAAGCACAAATACAAAACAAATAGATGTGTTTTGTCCTGCTCATATTTATAATTTTACTGTGAAAAAAGATAATAATATTTAAAAACCGTATTTAAAGAAAGATATAACGATTTTGATATAACTGAAATGCCATGAAAGTAAAGCTAAAATTGAAATCAAAATTAAACTCAGACACACACTTTCTCATTTATCCTTTCTTTTACAACGATTAAAGGCTTTGTTTTTCCTCAGTCTCAAAAAAGTATGTGACTAGAAGAGGACATTTTGGTGAAAAGTCTGAAAGCATACAGTATATAATATGCAAAGTTGCAATGATTCAGAGGCAATCTCACATGACCACCTCCTGTCCTTTAAACCTGAGTGACTTGATTATTGTGGCACAAAACAGACCCCAGACAATATCACAAACTGCTGAGGGTTATAGATGAGCAAGGTACTAAAATCTATCACACTGTTGTGAATCGATATAGGTTGCACAAATCAGAAAATGAGGTGAGATATGAAATTTGATTGTCACCTATGTATCTTCTTTTCTATGGAGGATAAACACTCATTTCAATGTGTTAAACTCTCAGTCTCCAAAAATCTTAACTTTAGTATTTGTAGCACACGGACAAAACTGCCCATCTGCATTCTTCATCACTTCATGCACATCAGCCCTCTCCAAAGCGGCCCATGTTTCCCTTTATAAGTGCCTTGCTTTTTACATAAACCGACAAAAATGAATAAACTTTTAATTCAGTACATCTTTAACTTCCATTTCAGGCCTCATTCTTTTTTGTTTCATTCACAGAAGCTAAGCGATACAAATAACAAACCATCGGACCAGAGACACACCTGAATGGCACTTGCATCTGGCATACTGAGACGCCGCACAAAAATCTGGCTCTGTCCACTGTGACTGGTGACATAGCCTGAGCCCCACGTGCCACTCTGAGGCCGGCCGGTGTTGTAGAACATAAAAGTGTCGCTTCCTGATGTTGCAGTCAAGCATGTCTTGTAACAGTACGTTTTAGTCAAGGACCCATTTCCCCGCACTTCAATATAATGCGGTTCCACTTTGAGGTCACGCCGCAGGGCCATGTTACTGTTTGGCTGCCCTCCACTGGCCCCACCTCCTCCACCAGCTCCACTCGTAGCTCTTCCTCCACCACCACCTGAGGATGTACCTCCCTCTGGCATACTCTTCTTGGATACGCAACATGGAGAGCAAGAGCCAGGTTGTGTGCAGTAGGCATGGCAACGTACAATGGCCAGAACAAAGATAGTGACGAGGAATACAAACGTTGTGGCACACAAGGCAATGATAAGGTAGAGAGTAACCGTGGAAAACATTAGGGGACTGTCAGGCCTGATAATACGCTTGGGGTCAGGAGCTACCTTTGGAGGTAGTTCTATCACATGCACATGGATTGTGGCAGTAGAGGAGAGTGATGGTAGGCCACTGTCCCGCACCAGGATTGACAGAGCAAATGTGGTAGAGTTGTCTTCAGTGACACGCCTTGTGGTGCGGATCTCACCTGTGTACTCATGCACTTTAAACAGATCAAGGTCAGCATTGGTCTGCTGCAAAACATAAAACAACCAGGCATTCTGGCCTGCATCCCCGTCCCATGCTATCACCTTGCTAACTAACAGTCCTGCTTCAGCATTTTTCATTAGAGTCTCTGTTGTGTGGCTGCCATTGGCTGGCGGGTAAACAATCCGGGGCACATGATCATTCTGATCCATAATGTACACATACACTGTGGCGACGCGGCTGAGTGGGGGTACACCATTGTCCTGGGCTTTAACTTGAAAATGAAATTCCTGCACCTTTTCAAAGTCAAAGGCTCTCAGAGCATAGGCCTCGCCTGTGTTAGGTTTTATGCTAACGTAGCTAGCCACTGGTATACCATGGTTGTTGTCATTGAGGACGGTATAGGTGATGCGCGCGTTTTCTGCAGCATCAGCATCTGTGGCCTTGACAACACAGAGAGATGCATGAGGAGCATTGTTCTCTGTAATATAAACAGTATATGATGCCTGCTCAAAACGAGGTGGGTTATCATTTACATCAGCAACATCCACTTTAAAGGTCATTTGAGATGACAAGGCTGGAATGCCTCCATCCACAGCGTTGACTGTGACGTTGTAGGATGAGATGGTTTCCCGATCCAGAAAAGCAGATGTGACAATTGTATAATGGTTTCGGAAGGACTTGATCCTAAAAGGCAAATTGGGCATGATCTCAAGGGTTACCTGCTTGTTTTGACCAGAGTCACGATCATTAACACTGATCAATGCCACCACTGTGTCAGCCCGGGCATCTTCACGCACAGGGCTGGATAGTGAAGACAAAACAATCTCAGGAATGTTGTCGTTGACATCCAAGACTTCTACAACTACTTTACAGTGCACAGCCACAGGTGCTGGACCCTTGTCCATTGCCTGGATGTACATTTCATATGAGTTGGTCTCCTCATAGTCTATATTATTTGTCACCCTAATTTCCCCCGTGTTTGTGTCCATGGAAAACATCTGTCTCACTCTTTCTGGTGTGTAACTACTAAAAGAATAAAACACTTCTCCATTTGAGCCATCGTCAGGGTCTGTTGCATTCAACTTGATCACAAGTGCCCCCTTTGGAGAGTTTTCTGACAGTTTAACTTTGTACACTGAGTTGTCAAAGGCAGGCACATTATCATTGGTATCAAGGATTCTGACATTGATTTTGGCTGTGCCCGTTCGCTGTGGAGTGCCTCCATCCATTGCTTTTAGGATAAGCTGATGAGAGGGCAACTGCTCCCGATCAAAGGGCTTTTTTAGAATGAGCTCAATGTTCTTATTATTAGAAAATGGTTTATTTGAGTCCAGAGTGAGATGGTCGTTTGTACTGAGTCTGTACTGCTTCACGGAGTTGGAGCCGTCATCTGCATCGTGGGCTCCCTCGATCTGAAATCGTGATCCAGTGAGAGCTGATTCTGATACCTCAAGCTGATATTCATCTCGTGGGAATTGTGGTGTGTTATCGTTCACGTCCAAAATCTCCACCTCAACGTTGTGCACCTCCAGAGGATTCTCCAATACCACCTCCAGATTGTGTGAACAGGTGCCACTGAATTCACAAACTGTCTCTCGATCAATGCGGTCACTCACCACCAGCTTTCCGGTTTTGTGATTTATGGTGAAATATCTCCGTCCAATGTCCGATGTGATTCTGATGCGTCGGGTGGAAAGTTTTCTCAGATCTAGACCCAAATCGCGCACAATGTCACCGACAAGAGCCCCGTTCTCCAGCTCCTCCGGAATGGAGTATCTAATTTGCGCATTCGAAAGGCCACCGAACACGAGCATAAACAAATACAGAGAAAAAGGCACACTCTCCTTTACACTGCAAAACCATCGCACTGTCACAGCCATCGCATGCAGGCAGAATTTGCAGAAGGCTTGGAGAAATCTTTCCGCCTTTTCAGCTTGCTGCGGGTCCCCACCCGCCTCATTAAAAACCGGCGAATAGTCCGTGCATAATTCCGACTATGTGCAAGGTAACCTCCGCATCCTGTCTGATGCCTGTATGAGGATAATGTTGTCCTGTGCATCCATGTTTCCCTTTGTCTGCCTGGTTGTTATTAATCTATCCCTGGCAAGGCTGGCTCTTTCTCTCAGATGCTGCTATTGGTCTCTCCTTCTCTCGCTCTTTCTCTCTGCCTGGGATGTGGTGATGCTGTCTGTGGGCAGAGAGGGAGGGCGAGCCACTCGCTCAAACGATGCTGGCTGTATTTCAACACCTCTAATCGAGCAACATCTAATAAAATTAAACCCTTAAACATCGAAATCACTTGAGTCTTATCATTGTAGCCTTCCTTGCAACAAATCTCGACACCGTGTGGAGCAACGAATGACACTGTATAAGACTCATTTGAGGGGAATAAAAATATTTGTTTCCCCCCTTTTTTTTAACAGCGCCACCGCCCTTTTCATTGTGTAATGGAAAACTGATTTATGAACCAATCTGCCGATAAGATTTCCTCTCTCATGCCAACGAACAATCCCTCGGGTACACTAAAGAAAAACAGACAACCAAATGCGTACAAACAATATATTCAAAGGAAGCACAGGAAAAATAGATATAGCCCAGCTATAAAAGCGTTCCACTCGAACTGATTCTGGACCCCTGTCTGAAAGATGTGTTTAAAAATGAATACTTTTTCAATAAATACCTTTACTTTTAAACTGACCTGATACCTTTTTTGTCAGCACATTGGACAAACAACTGACAACAATCTTGTTGTCTCACCTTGTTTCTGCTTGCAAGTAAAGTGCTGACACACCAAGGACTTCTGTGACAAAAATATGATACCGATTTCTGCTTTTCTCTAGCTTTACAATGACATACTCTTTTTGGATGCAGGTAGTGCTGTTTTATTTTAAAAAAAAAATGTTTTGCCCCCCCACACAAAAGAGCAAGTCTGTGATGTCAAGATCTTAACTGGTGACATTATTTGGTCACAGACAAGGTGCTCCACCCCTTTCCACATCTGGCAAATCACACTCTCACACTAAAAGGCAAAGAACTATACAGATGCTTTATACATCCACTACATCTAGTTACAAACAGTCATGTTAGCCTATTTCTCTCCATTACCAATAATCAGTCCTCAATTAACCTATCATAGTCCAATATAGTCTACATGCTGCCGTCATGTCTGTTGATTATTAAGTTGGAAAAACAAATAGCACATTATGCATATCTACTGTTTAGTTGGTGTAACTGTTTAAAAGAGTGAGTGGTGCATCTAACAGCTTACTAACGATTAAAGGTTAAATGCTTGAGTTTCCGCAATAACCTGTAATGTCATATCTTGTGCATCAATCAAACGCTATAAAATTATATCAAATTCACTGGATGGTCCCTCACCTGTAGCAATTGTAACTGAGAGAGCTGGATATTTTTTAACAGAGTTCAGTTTGATAGCTAAGTTATTAACTGATGTAGATGATCAATGCTCTAAAATGTACATAGCTTGACCCTCATGAAATATAGGGTGAAAATATAGGGTCTACTTTATTTACCATCTGAAAAGACACCTGCACCAATAAGCAAGAAACCATTTAAACTCTGATGGTGTGACTTCCTGTCATTATGTGGAAGTTATGAGATACAGAAAAGTAGCCTTTGAGACCCTGAATCCTCTTGCTGTACCACAGCCATGAGGCCAAGACAAGCGTCTATCACCCACATAAATTTTCCGTCTTCACTGTTCTGCCATGCTCACCCACGCCCAGTCAATGCCCACGGCAATGACTTGGCATCCCAAAAGACGGGAAAGAGAGTGAGTCAGTAGGATGACGATAGGGCCTAGGATACAAGAATTGACTCTTTGCACTCAGAAGCAGCAAACACAAGTAGCCAAAGTTTGCTCATTGAAATTCCATTTAACACAGATTGCCTAAATTATAGAATATATCATGATTTATAGTATTAGTGAAAGAAAACATAATTATTCTTCTATCATACAGCTGAGCAGTGTTGGTTTGTTTATATGTTTTCAGGTGGGTTTACATGTACATCTGCAACACTAACCCTGACATTTAGCAGATTTTTTCTGTGGGTGTTTGAACAAGTGTATCAGTCTTTGATTCAAACAAAAAGACAGGGGCAACAATAGATTTACATTTGGATTACATTTGACCTTTGTAATTGTCTTGCTCTTTCCTCACCCCCACCATCCTCCAACACGTACCTCTTCTTTTCACATATATTTTACCGTCTTTTTTAATCCATGTAAAATTAAACTTAATCCATTTGTTTCTATATTCGCATGCCTCTGGGTTCTAGATTATTTCCCTTTTCATCCTGTAATGCTTACAAAAGGTTGGCAAACATTTTCTACCCGAAGACATATTCTCGTATCGCTTCATCAAATGCTGGTTATAAGCAGTTACTACGCTCATTTGTGGAAAGGTTCTGACTGGTTTAGTCTTTTTGTGACACATAATTTTATTCCCTATCCCTGTTGTCATTTTTCTCAATATTATCTGGCCAGCTGTGCCTCTGTCAGCCAGCTGCTGCTCCAGCTGATGGGCATACAGAGCTCCAACATCAAGATGAGAACTGATGAAATGTGCACATAGCTTTATAAATGTAAGCATATGACAGGTATGAAAAAGAAAGATGATTCAGACTGTAAAAACTTTCACTCTGTTCATTCTACCAGAACATCAACACCCTTCGTTTCATCAATTATGCATTATGGCCACTATATTAATAACATTCTCTCCAACCTCATTAATATTGTAAAGTAGCCACTCTAAAAGCCATTTATATTGATTCCCTTTACAGACTTGTCTTTGGAATCCCCATTTATATGAATCCAAATTTAAAAAGAGATATATGAAAAAACAGTCAATGATTCTGCAATCAAGAGGTTTTACTCCTCATACGATTCCACCAGTAAGCATAGACAAATAGAAGCAGTCAAGCAAACTTAAAGGGCAATTGTGCCTGTAGGCCTGTGCATTCACAGACATTATGCACAGCATAATGAAAATGCTATTTGAGGACAAAATGATTGTGTTTGTGAATTAATGTCAGAAGAATTGTTTTGCCATTTTTTCTTGTCATTTTCAAAATGCCAGGGAACATATGCGGTCAGCTGAAAGCTTTGACAAACATTCATTGACTGCAGGAAATAGGAGCATGATGCCTCTTAGAGGTTATCTGGAATACTGAGAGACGAGGGAAGCGACAAAATATAATTTTGGCTTAGAAAAGAAGACTGGAGACTCAAAATATTCAATTGGTTCCCACTAAACTGAAAATGTCCTCCCTAGTCAGATATATTAACAGAGTAATTGCCTGCAAGAAGTAAAAATATCAATCTTAATAATAAAGAGGCTGTAAAATGAATGAATTAGCATTTTCTTTTCAGGAAGATACACAAAAGAAGGATTCCCAAACTCTATGAAATCAAATTGTATTTTACCTGATCCTAATAGGTGTGGTCTTGCTTACAATATTATTTAACTGTAAGTGTTTAATTCAGCTCTTGATGACAAGACAGAGTTCATGGGCATACAAATATATATATTCAGCAAGATATTCTATAAATGTTCAAAATGCAACAAGATCTGAAGGTGTTAATGAAAAAATGTATGACAGCAAGAGTATCTTCAAATGAAGTGTCAAGCCAGCAATATCAAGAGGCCCTGAGCAGCAAGGGGAGGTGAGAGAAAGGGAAACTGGTCCCTCTATTGGAATGCATTGGTAATACAAGGGGGGAACACGTGATCCTCACCCCACTGTCTGTCCACCCTGGCTATTTCATTAAGCCAAAGCACTAAGCCATAATCCTATCTATGAGTGTGTGTGTGTGTGTGTGTGTTTGTGTGTATGTGTGTGTATGTGTTTAAAAGGGAAAAGAGACGGAGAGGAGAGGCACGGACATCAGACTGCAGAGGGAGTCATTTTCTCTATCACTTCCACCACAGAGGTCACAATGGACGAAGTAAAATATAAATGCAAGGCACCATCCAGAGGTGACACAAAATAAAACACAATCTAACACAAGTGGATTACACACATAAATCCTTTCTGACTTCAGAATAAGGAAGATGCATATTATGATTTGATCAAATAAACCCATAGATTTACCACATGTAGTTCTTTTCACACTACAGTAATTAATAGTACCCTGTGCAAAATGTTTCCTCTCAAAAGTCCTTTAATTTCCAGTGGTTACTTGGCTTGTTTCTACTTTACATTTTTCTGCTTTAGGTATCGATTAATGAGCAGACAAAAAGATCGTGTGAAGGCGGAAGATTGGGGGCCTAACTCTCTGCCCATACTCTCAATCTCCTCCAGGTAAAATGACAAATAAAAAAAAAACTGCTACTTAACAAAATAGATGACTTTTTTTAAGGAATAGACGGCTAGCTTATGGTCAGCTACATAACGTATTGTGAACAATTTGTATTCTCATTCATCTTCGATGCAGAACAACTTGCCGATTATAAAATCTACAAAAGAAAACAGTAACCACAATCTTTTTCCTCAGGTGAACACAGTAAGAAGGTTTTCTCTGGATATGTTTGTTCTGATCCGTCATGTACCTTTCTATCAAAAATAAAGGGCATGAGAGAGAAAAGACTCTTAGAAATATTTCCCAGTGGTACACAACAAAGGTTAAACAATTCCTTTGCTGTCTCCTTTCAGCCAGTGCATGAATCGAACTTGTTGTGGCACCAAACAAAGCTATCAGGAAATGCAGGCCAGCTTTGGAGACTCCCCTCTTAGGATACTCTGGCTTTGTATCCCTGCCGGATGAGACAGGACGGAATCTGTACTTGTGAGCATGACAAAGCTAATCTAATGAATGCAAAAACATCCCCATACCACTAAGAAGGAGCATGGATGGAGCAATGGGGGAAGCAGGAGAGCGGTGATGATAAGTTTTTCTTTTTATCTGTGACCAATTGTCAGCCTGTGATGTTCTCACTCAGCCGCATGATATGTCCCCCTCTTCCTCCCAAATTTAGACCCCCCCCCTTACAATCTCATCCCCAAGGCCTGGGTTTATGCTGCAACATTTGTGAATTCCTCTGAAATCCTTACTCATTTTGGAACAGACCCTTTAATCTCACGCTCTATTTCCTCGTTTGCTTTGCTCGCTTTCCTTGCACGTTGTCTGCATAGACATTTTTGCTGAAGATGCTGCACAGCTTTGTTTTGCACCTTTGTCTTTGTCTAGCTCCATTTCTCCCATCCCTCTCTGCATTCAACCTGCTTCTTTTTAGCCTGACTCCATACAACACATGCTGGGTGGATGTGTGGGGGTGGGTACACACTCGCAGCACCCTGGAAACACTCTGCTTCATCATTTCGTTATAGCTCAGGACAGTCTCCATGGCAACCATAGATTAGAGCACCAACCCCACTCTCACACAAAGGACACACCCTTGTTGAGGAGGAAAACAGGAAGTGCTACATGACATCTCTGCTATACAGACATAGCAAAATACAGAAAACATCAAACTAATCTCTCATCATATTTGCTGATCTAATACCGTGGATTTAAACTGGGTTAAGGGCAGTTATTCATCATCCTTCTTGTCCAGCTGTTGATTTCATCTGTATAGTCCATCAACATGACTTGCAGTTTTAGCCTCTGCTGCAGGACATCTACCATAACCTACTGTATAATCAATAATTCAATGCATTTTCCATGGGGAGGCTGGAAAGATTCAAACGATGTCACTCCCTTAATACATAACACCCAAGCGCTCCTCCTATGCTTAGTGGTTACTGGAAAGGATACATTATTCAGTCGTTTAAATATATGTCATCACTTTTTTTATTTATTTTTTTCTCAAAAGCCAACAGCATATTTCGACACTCAGCGTCCTGTGTATCATTTAAATATAGCCTACTGCACCAGACAAGCCCACGTGTTCTGATCATTGTTTTCTTTTTAAGCCTTTTCATCCACCCCAGCCCTTTCCACCACGCAGCCTGTTTACCGGTGATTGACATTAGGTGTTGTCAGCCCCGCCCAGCCGCAGAGCGGACCAGGAAACACAACCGAGCCGAGCTGAAACCTCGATCGGAACAGAAGCCTGCTTCCCTGCTGCTGCTGCAAAGAGCAGCGGAAAATTACCTGCCCCTCCCCCACTCTGCTCCACTCACAGAGAGCTGCAGCATACTGAGCCACTTTTACGCAGAGACTGCTCCAGGCATTGTTGTAGGAGCCACATCAGTCGTGTACAGTCTTCACAGTGAATAAACTGTATTGAAAAAAAAGCAATTTAACAAACCCGGTTCACTCAGACGGAGATTGTGTGCTGCCACGGATAAATCACCGGCTGACCCACTTATCAGAACCACATTGCACGTAATAAGTTTTCAGACATGGTAAAGAGCTCTGGTTTACCCTTCTTAATGCTGACCCGATCAAACGAGCAGAGTTCTGACAGATTAGGCCATGTTTGTTTAGACTGAACCACTCCCAGAAATGAGGTCATCGCCTCTGAAAGACTCAAAGCACCATGTATCCACCGCAATACACTTCAGTTAAACCATCGACACTATTTTTTTTTTACCAAACCTATCAGCACCAGTAATATCTTAAAAAGATGTTGACGTCTGTGCAGCGTGATTGCATTTAATTACAAAGCAATCTTCTGTACCGAATCCCACTTGATTTGACACGGTTATGTGTAGTCATTAAAATGGTAAAATAAACATATTCGAACGTGTTTACAGCGTCGTCCGATTGATAGCGTACATGTCTACAGAGATGGGGCTAATTTCCTGTTGGCTGCTTCAGCTGCTCCCCTCTTCAGGAGACTAAATGGTAGGGGGAGGGGAAGAAACCTTTCTGCATGGTACCAGAGAATATAGACTTGAAATGAATATAATTCATTACATTGCTGAGAGCAAGAGAACATACAACATGGTAAACATTAAAAAAGTATATAAAAAACAAACATATCTTCAACATTGTCATCGTGTTAATCAAAATAAAGTGTTAATATCTGATATAAGTGATGCAAATAATAGCTTTGTGCAAAGTATAATAAAATGTAGATTATCTATAAGGATAATTTACAAGTAGCACAAACAGCAAAGTATTCAGTGCTCTGGCAGTGAGGGAAAAAAGATGATGTGTAACTCAAGAGCAGTTGATGAATATCTCATGATGAGATACAAACCAACTGAAAAACAGCACACAGTTTATAAGTAGGGTAATATCAACACTTTTCTTTTAAAAGCTACTTCGCTAAATCAGGCATCTTGGTATAACTGCAAATGTCATATTATCTATGTGAGAAACACGTAACATTTATATAAGAAGCTGTTAGAGGGCCGTTAAGTCTAAAAGGAGAGGAAAAGAGGTAGAGGAAATAAAACTTAACTGTCTACACATGGAATTCAATAGAAATAAAAAAATACTATGCATATAGAAACAATACAGTGCATAAATGTAGATACACATTTTTATCCCACCCAAATTGCATTATCACGACATGATCAACGTTGGAAATATATGACTAAATTCAATGACCAGTGTAAAATTTAGGTTAAAAGCAAGTAAAACAGATGAAAAAAAATCGTGAGGCCCACGTTATGCCCTGTGCTTGATAATCACAGATAATCACATACAATAACAATGTTTCTTATGTTGGCATTGAGCCACTAGAGGCAGTACTCAGCTCGCAGCTTTTTTGCTCGACCTTAGGAATTTACTTCCGGTATCCCGACATTTTGAAAAACTCTGGCGCGCCAAAAGGGAATGTTTTTTCCGGTGTGACATCAGTACGGGTGCGAATTAAGTTTTTGGCTCCTATGAATTTTAGCTTTGCCAAAAAAGCGTGCCTCTGTAGCATACAATCTTTAGCACGTTGGTGGGCCATGAATATCACGATGGTTCAGTTTCCCAAACCGTTCAAAGACATTTGCCACAAAGTTAGTTTCACAAGCCTAAACATTGAGTGGACTGCTTTCATGTAACCTTCGTTTTGGAATAAACCATGACAATAACAAGAGAATACGGATAAGGATATATCGTTTTAAAAAGGCAGTATCTATAGATGCTTTAAAGAAGAATTGGACTGCTTTGGATCTACCTCGGCAAAATAAGGATTTTGAAGTGTCATATGCCACAAGGTATACAACCTTGATAACAGGGAATCCATTCAAGTATGAATCGTAAGTAAATATCTTCACTGGCAGCAATATTTGTGCAATATGTATAATTTATATGAGTAAATACATACACACACGCGCACACACACACAAACACACACACGCGCACGCACACACATCTGACCTGTCGGACATTTACCCCACTTCCAGCCTACACAGTATGCAAAAATGTTTGTATTTTTATTCAACAGTTTTTTTCTCCAACGATCAAGACGTTCATGAACTTCACCACGTGCTAGAGAAAGCAACTGAGCGTCTCTTCACAGCGACAGTGAGACAACATAAAACGTAAGTAGTCTAAACTTCCATCAGTGCATCGTTAAACTCTAAACTGCATGGTGTACAGCCGATTAACAACTTATGTACAACCAAAAGAAATTTGGACGTTTAAAAGGTACGTTTTTCTTCTTTTCAACCACCGAGTAAGTATTCATGCTACGTTTCTTTTACCTCAAATGTGATTTCATGGTCTGAATGTTTTTTTGTTTGTTATTATTATTATTTTTGTTTTTGTTTTATTCTATAATTAAATCCGGAAATTAATGATTTATTATCAACTTGGGCTGGCATAAAAAACGTAAAAAACGGTTTTCATTTAATCTATTTTTTAAACACTGTAATGTAATATGTCTACAGTTTGATTACAGTTTGATTTAAGATGTAAACGTTATTTATTTTTTTGTTGGCATCCATTTCTTAGGTGTTTTTTTTTCTTTTTGGAAAATTTGGAATTTCATTCGCCTCGGTTACAATAGATTCCTAACCCATACCAGAGAAGGGCTAAATAGTTCCATGATTTGAGTAGTTCAGTACCATGGACAGCGCTTTGACCACATACTGGCAGATACAGCTGAATGAAAGGTGCAAAACTTGTTGCCTTTTAAATCACTTAAAAGCATGAACCCTTACCTTTTCTTTATTAGGTAAAGTCTGAGTTCTGGTAAAAGTGTCTCCTCCGTTAATACTGAT